CGCTGGTTGGCCGGCCGTGGCCCCCGCGGAGCCGATGGATTTCAAACGCCGGCGGATGAGTTGTAATGCAAAGTAATTGATTTTGACATGAAAATGCATTAAAAACATTCGGATTTTTTGGCGAAGACAGCGGAAAACATGTTCCTTTCTAAAATCATGAAGAAAGAATATGGAAATGATGCGAAATATTTTGTTTATAAGCACGACAATGTCCAAATTCATGTTTTGGACACTGTCGTGACAAGTACGCGTTACATATTTGATAGAACTGAAAATGTTAAAATGCAATGCTAGATTTATAAATAAACAATCCTCATGTATGATTTAATTAATTGTAATGAAAATAATGTTAGTGTTAAAAAAGTAATATTGCAAATATGTTAGGTGTTAAAAAAGTAATATTGCAAATACAGAAAAAAAATGGTACCTTTAATATTCTTCTTTATCATGTATATGATGAAAATTCTCTCATTCTTTATCATGTATATGATGAAAATTATTATTTAAAATTATTTTAAAAGTAAATCATTTTAATTGATTGATATTATCACAAATTTCCCTCGCTATCCGATGATCAAATGCGATAAACATTCTATAAATTACGTATCACTCGTTGGCTCAGTTGATACGGTCTTTGACTGTTGAAGCGAATTAATTAGAAATGTATATAAATAAACAATAATTAAAAATATATACAAATATTAATATAGTAATAGCCAACTATGAAAATGTTAGAAAATTTAAATTCCCTAATTAATTACTATATATTATTTATTTATGATCCAATATTGAAAAGGAGAGGAATAAAAAAACTTTTATGCCACCACCTATATCGCCGAATGTAATTTCTTATTTACTTTTTACTTGTACACATGAATGCATGTATAAGATTTTAAAAATCTGAAATATATTAAGTGTAAGTAAAACATTTGAATACTATGAAATTACAAAATGTTCTGTAATTAATTCTGTAAATACTTACCTTAATTGACAACAGGAATCCTTCGACCAAAACAAGAATTAAAAAGAATTAAAAATGCAATAAAATGTACAATTTTATAGAAATATATATATATATATTTATTAACAATGCAAACAAACATATGCATTTTCAAACAGGGTTAATGAAAAATACCACACAAACGTTGTGGGCGACTAAAATATAGTAGGTACAACAAAACATAATCTATATAATATGAAAGTAGGAAACCTCTTTTATATTTTAATTATCGCTGTTAGGATAATGACTTATCAACTAATTTCCTTTAAAAATAGTCATCTTATTGTTATGCATTCGCACTCTTTGGTTTTGATCATTTAACATTTTGCCTTCGTGATTTAATCTCATGTCAATATACTTTTGTATAATCAACAAAATGAGATGTTCTCGTTGAACTTTAAAATGTAATTCTAAGTGATCTTGATCATTATATCGTCTAAAACATTAGGTGGGAGTGATTTTAATGTTTCTGCGATTAACGTTTTGTTTATATCTTTTCGCAAAAGGTTTTGTAGAACGTATATTTTTTTCTATGTACATGCATATAAAATTAACATCATCTGATGCGAAGTGCAACCCACCACGATTTTTTAAATCAATCAATTTCGATTTTAAGCTGCTGGAAGATCCATCTAATAAGTCCCAGCACTTGCTACATTTAGTCTTATTCTTTAACATACGGATTATCGAACCGGCAGCGTATTTAACAATTTCATCCGCATATTCTGAAGAAGTCCAATCGCTGTTTAGAGGTTTGCTGTAACTGTGCTCAAAGACATGATGATCTTGTTGCAAAAACTGGTATACTTCACTGACTTGAAATTTCGTTTCGTGAGTCAAGACTTTTTCGGAACTTTTTGCAGCACTATTGTAGACCTCTTCTGAAATGAGTTCCGTATCGTCTAATGGATTACAATTCGCAGAAGAAGGAATTGTAATATTTAACTTATGCACCGTTACTTTTTTATACGCAGATAAATACTGAGTTGCAGTGGGATTATTGTTGTTACCATTCATTCGCCTTAATGAAGAAAAAAACATTTCTACGTGGTCTTGAGAGAGTTTGTAACTCAAAACGTAGTCTACAAAATTATTGTCTATTAAGTACTTTGAAAGATTATACAAGTTTTGTAGAGAAATAATAAACCCAACGAAGCCCGTGCTGACAGAATCACAAACGATGACAGATTTCCGAGTTGTCACATTTTCACCTTTTGATGTTTTGCTTTTAACATTAACTTCCAACTTTTCAATATATGAAATGAATTCTTCAACTTTCTTTTTAAGATTTGGCAAAGAATCTTTGGTAACTGTTGCTCGTTCAGGTATTTTTGAGGTCTTATTTCGAACATTCAATAGATCAAACATATCATTGAAGTTTTTACAAAACTGTGCTGTTGCAGACGAATGTGCAAAGTTTATGTCATTCAAAGTGAATTCATTAAAATGCAAAGCTAAGGCAGTGCTATTACTAAGTACTTGAGCTGCTAAACAAACTTTCATTTTCTCTTTATAGAAATTAACGTGTCGATTTTTAATTTTACTAGCACAGTGTAATTTTTCTTTTTGCTGCTTATCGTTCAGTTTTTTAATAAATGACCAATGAATGTACTCGTTTTGGTTATAAATAAGTGGCCCTTTAATAGCAAAGTAATTTCTAACTAGTTTCAAGCAATGGCACGGATCACAAAAAATGAAAACAGGTTCTGCAGTTACCGGATGATCGAAGTAAGGCTTGAAATTTTCTTTGTCGCTGTAGTTTAAGTTCGCTCCTAACGAGTGACAAGCTGTTTTGTGAGCCCTATCTCCGTCAAATGTTACACTAACGACCTTGATACCTTTTTCATGTAACTTTATTAGCAGATCTTTTAGTAATATACCTTTTTCTGTATCATTGAGTGAATTTATAAGGTAATGAGCTACTGGAACTTTGAAACCAGCATTTATGGTCACTGCCATGAACACTAAAGCTTTTGTGGCTTCTTGTTTTTTCCCATTTTCGCCCTGTTCGCTCAATTGACCACCATGATCTACCAGGCCTTGCCACGAGTGAGAATTTTTATCCCAGAATTTGTGCTGTTTGATATGCATTTCGTCGAAAGTTATATTAAAAATGATTTGTTTCCCTGTCTTCATTTCTTCACGCACCATGCTGGAAACATTATTAATCGTGTCTTCTGAAATGCCTGGTTTGTACTGCTTCGAGCAAATCCAGTTATTTAGGGTTTGAACACATGGTAAACATTTTAGAAAACTATTTCTAACAACTTCATAAGCAGATGGTGAATGGAAGTGAAGTGTTCTTGCGAATGTTTTAAGGCTGGCAGGAAAAGGAGCAGTCGGGTTTTTATTTTTCATGCGGGTTATAAGCTCTTGCACATGCGGTGGTAAATCCTTGAAAAAATTAAACAGCATAATATTAGTTATTGTTTCATTACAAAAAACTCATATTTACAATTCATGTGTAAATTATAATAAATGAACATTAAAAAATTGTTATTTAGGGTTTGAACACATGGTAAACATTTTAGAAAACTATTTCTAACAACTTCATAAGCAGATGGTGAATGGAAGTGAAGTGTTCTTGCGAATGTTTTAAGGCTGGCAGGAAAAGGAGCAGTCGGGTTTTTATTTTTCATGCGGGTTATAAGCTCTTGCACATGCGGTGGTAAATCCTTGAAAAAATTAAACAGCATAATATTGGTTATTGTTTCATTACAAAAAACTCACATTTACAATTCATGTGTAAATCATAATAAATGAACATTAAAAAATGTAATAATTGTAGATAATTGATTTTTGTCATGTATAAAAATACATAATGATAAAAGTTGAATACATTTTTTACATAAAACATTAATTTTTTAATAATAATGTTTAAAAAGATTGTAACCGCGTGTTTTATTGACTTATTTAGGTCCACCTCTTGACGTAGATTTTGCAATTTTTTTTTATGAAATCTTAATTCTGAATGTGTTCTTTTTGAGAGAATCGCCCATATATTTTATAGATAAATAAAAGAAAAAGAAAGTACAAAATTTAATACAATTAAAAGAAGTGTACAAAATAAACAAATTATAATGAGACCTTTAAATACTCTGCAGCATTAAATTCTTCTATTTTCTCTAGATCTTTTATCAGAATCTGCAGATTTTGTATTTTTTTTCTTTTCCTACAACTTCTATTATGTGCAGCTGCCATTTTTGATTGTTGACATAATCGATATCGAAGGAACTTATTCCATGCTTCATCCGAAATAAAATCATTTCTCGACATGTACTTAGTTTGGAATCCAATCATAAAACGAATTCGTTTACTTGTGTTGGTTTCAATGGTAGCTACAAGCGATTGCTTCCTATAAAAATAGAAAAGATAGAAAAATTATTATATACTTACTAAGCGCTTTATTGCGGTCATTGATTTTTAATTTGACTTTACTGTTTCATGTAACGATTTACTCATATCCGTTTCTTTATTTGTAATTGATATACTGATTTTTTATTCATTTGTTTTCAATTAATTGAAAACAAATGCACCCGAGTGGTGCTACACGGACAAAAAGTTACAGGGTAAAAGCAAATTTATGTATATATTATTATTGTTACCGTTTTCGACTGTTCGAAACATTTCTTGTGTTGGTGTTGAGTGATTGCGCTTGGATGTCCAAATTGCTACTGCCATTTTGTGATATGACATCTTCGGCAAATGTTTCCGTTGAGCTTTGAGAAGTAACATCTTCATTAGTAGAAAGTGATACATTTTCTGCGGTGGGGTTTGGAGAAGTAAAATCTCTAGAGGAAACTGGCGTACTTGGAGTTTCATTTTCATCACATTCTTTCATAGTACTATTATCACAGTCTTGTTTTTGTATCGCACGATTGTTTATTTCATTTGTAGATGAAGTCGATGCATGTTCTATAATTATTTCTGGAATCGCTGATGTAAGTAGTCGGTTTCTTGTTCGAAATTCATCTTTATCGTAGAAGCATTTTTCTTGAAAATGGTCACTGCATATATATGTTTAAAATTCACTATAGTGGTTAAATTCAGGGCCTCTATCCAAGTCTGTCGCAAAGTATCATTTGTGGGAAATCTACATGCAACAAGTACACATAAATTACAAATCTTTATAATTAAACTGTAAAATAATTATAATTATATATATTACAGATCATATAATTTTCATATTCAAAGTAAATAATAATACCAAATATAGCAATTCTTCTGAATTATAAAAAGCTTCTATGAAAGTTGAACAATTAACGGTAAATTTAAACAAAAGTGAATGTGAGAATATGTGTCATTAAGCAAGAATTATGGTAAATAAAGTAAAAAATAAAGAAATTATAGTTAAAATAGAAAAGTATCATTGAAACTACAGATATCAATTTTTATACAATTAATTACAATGTTTATTAAGGTTAGGTTTGTATGTTTGTTATGTATACGTACAATATGTGTGTACTTACTTATGAAAACTGCGATCAGAAAATCGGTTTGATTCTTTTTTGCACACGATACACTTTACAGTCATTTTGGAAAAAAACTGTACACAAGAACAACATTTGCAAAATCGAAAGCGGTTAATTCCGGCATATTCACTACCATGCTTGTAAGTAAACATGGATGGGCTGCGCGCATGCGTCATTAAACAAGAATGACACGAGTAACTATGCAGCGTTCTCTTTCTATCCCGCTAACGCCTGTACCTATGGCTTTTGCCCTCTATTTATAATACCTCTTTGTTTGTTTGACATAGTTTAAAGGCAGTTTCATAGCTGTCGGCCATGTTTAGTACTCTTCTTAGCACCTTTGTCATACTGACTTAAGCCGGTTGAGCCTCTCTGATAAATCTAGGACTCTAGTCTGGAGTAGAACTGTCATTCAATGTTGTCTTCAGCTCCTCTCATATAAATGCTCCGTCTATCTTATAAGTCTATGCTGGGGAGTTTCTCTCTCTCTCTCTCTCTCTCTCTCTCTCTCTCTC